GCTTAATCCAAAATCTTCATATTCCACTTCGAAGACTCCATTTTCAAAAATAAGAGAGTTTAACATGTCAAATCACTCATTTGAAAAATCTCAAACAACTATTAATCAATGCAATATAAAGGCACGTTCTAAATTATGTACTTGTAGGAATAATCCCAAATAATTATCAATTAATGCCCCAACTACCTAATGTGCAGAATAGCCCTGGAGCTGTGCTGTTGTTTGCGTTGGTCTACCTTCAAACATAACATAGTTGCATCACGAGCCAAAGCAATTAAGCAAAAATCTTCATATTCCAAGTAGAATGACTCAATTCAATTTGGCCAACGCTTTATACATATTGTTTACCCCTGGATCTGTTGCACTTGCGCCTTCAGATCTTCGTGAACACAATACAATTGCGGAGAGGAGGCTGTCAACGGAATAAAAATTGTTAATTAAGTGAATCACTATACAACTAAACAAACGCGCTCTTCTTGATTAGCTATCAAAATAGTGGGGGTCGCTACAATCCATCGGTTGCTCCCTCTGCGCCAAAGTTGTAGATATTAGGTTTCAGTGAGAACTTTGAGTACATGAGGAGATATTTTGTAGTGGAGGAGATGACCCGGCGAGTAGAATAGGAAGATTTGGAGAGGCTGTGATGGGCAAAGCAGTTAAAATCGAGATTTTACCTAAAATCGAAAACTGGGGTAAAATCAAAATCGTATAATCGAATCGTAAAATCGTAGGATTTTAAGTACCATATAGAACATAGCATATAAGAATATTAATAAGGTAAATTATTAATATCACAAAATCACATAGCATTTAAAATGATAATTCAGAAGATTTTTTTTCCATAAGATAATTCTCAAGATTAATGTTCCAAAATCACTATTTTAATTGTTATTTAATGTGTAACTCAAAATAATTCATGATGAAGGAATATAGTTCATGGGTTTGGCTCTTATTTTCATGTTATGTCTAGGTTGTTTAACTCAAAGTAATATTTCGACATCGTCTACTAAGTATGATTTAAAACTAAAAATAATTGAACTCCAATAAAATAAGTAATGTTAGTGGCTTGGTACAAATATATTCATTAATAATTTAATTAGTTAATAATGATCTTAGTTCTTACATACTTCCAATATTAGGACATGTGTTTTACCAATAAGTTAAATGGGGTGAAGGGAAAGAGATTAACCGAACCCTAATTTGGTTATTTTTATTATTTTTGAATATTTTTCTAATAGAAAAATATCTGAGAAGATTTCATTGCCCTTTCCGCTGAAACAGTTATACTTATTTTAAATTGGCTCAAACCACCTATTTTGTTCTCTTACGATCAAAATCCCGATTCGGTACTATTTTACGATTTTAGTCCCGATTTTAAACGATTTTAAGGTCCACCGATTTTATAGTAAAATCAAGATCGGAATCCCTAAGTAAAATCCTAAAATCCTACGATTTTACGATCAAAATCCCGAATTTGACTGCATTGGCGATGGGTGCACGATTAGTGGGCCAAATAACAGTTTGGGCCCGTTTAAATGAAAACATATTTTTACTTTCGTGCTCAACAGACCGACCGCACTGGCATCTTCTAAATTTACCCCTAAAAAATTGCTCTGTACGCATCAAATTTGAAATGGAATCCCTCTTTTCTCATTTCACATTTCACATTTATATGATGTGTAGATTGTGATGAGTGTAGATGTAGACCTGTCATTGTCCTACAAATTCATTAACACGCCAAAAAGTGGTGAAATGAGCCACCCTATTAAACACAATCTTGTATAATGATCATTGGATCCAATCATGCCAGATTATGAAGAAGTTTAAAATGTAGCGGTTATCCCGACTAAAACATTAAAAGAACCAGTCTCATATAGTTTGCACAAAGATATAATTTCTCCATAGTAATTCTGAAAAATAATATTAATTTAAGAAGTCGATATTGCTTCTACATGTTTAACATTGCAATTCGATATGCAATATTCGAACCAGTGATATTTGGGCTGCAATTTTAGGGTTATTGTATATTTATAAAATAGATAGAAATTTAAATTAAGTATTAAACTACAACTAAAATAATCAAAGTATTAAAACACCAAATAAGTACTTATGGGAGATTCAGTGGCCAACTAATCGTTAAAAAAGTCATATGATTTTCATAATTTAGGTTCGTGTATGTTTGAATTTAAATAGATACAACAAATATACTTAGTGTGATTGGTTATGATCCTTGCTTGCCTTTAAAGAGACCAAGGTTCAAATCCCAGTGCATGCCTTTTTTATAAATAAATAAATAAATAAGAAAATAAGCAATTGTGAAGACCAAAATGTCCTTCCTATAATCACTCTCGTTGCAGGAAATTTGAAATGGAGCAACAGTTTTCATCATTCGGCTTTTATTTATTATCTAGATTTTGCATCTTGTATATGAATATCCCATTTGCTCGCACTCTGTTGCATGAATGGTCATTTGAGATGTTACAAGGAGTGTGCCATGAAGGTTTGTATGGTTTGGCTTTGGTGGTACTAGCATGTAGGTTTTTTTTGTTGTTGTATGATATCGGAAGGGGATGCAAAAGTGGTGATTAATAATAAGATTAATTATATGTTTGCTAGAAATAGAAGGTGCGGTGCTCCAAGAGATATGGTGGCTACTTCAGTCTTGTTCCAAATATAAGATGTGATTCATAGACATGTCGAACAATAAGATATCTCATTTAGTTGCTAAGAAGAACGCTTTTTTTTTCCTGATAGATTGATTGGTTTGATTTTTACGTTTGGCTTTTGGAAGAACTGTAACATTAGATCTACATTTACTTGATAACATAAATCATCAACAAATGCATTCATTCCATAACCAAAAGTGCTTGCCTGGTCGATTACATCGAGGAGATCGAAGACTACAAGTTGAAGTAGCAGGAGATTTTATCATAATGTTCATTCATTAACATTAACATATACATAAAACAGAGCAGACAGACACGGATTACAGTCACATTACAGATGGGGTAAAAATGATAGCAGCAGCAGCAGCCAGCAGCCCATTTCACTTCTCGAAGTAATCCTCAGTCCTTCCCTTGAATCCAATCTGTCCAAATGTCAGGCAGATGAACAGCCCCAGGTGCCACGTCACCAACCACAACCTAGTAAAAAGTCGAACAATAAGTAACCATAAGTCAATCTAGTTGAACAAAATCCGGTTCCATGGTCTAGTGGTCAGGACATTGGACTCTGAATCCAGTAACCCGAGTTCAAATCTCGGTGGAACCTCTTTTATCACCTTCCTTTTTCCGATCCATTAGATTCAGACTGGCCCATGGGCCGACAGCCCAAATAAACGAGGAAGGGGGAGAGCCGTTTGGTGGGCTTACCAGAACTGAGAAGTGAGTGCAGGAGGAGTGGGGAAGTGGGCCAGCTCAGTCCCGATGCTCTCGAAGAAGAGCCCAGACAAGCTCTTGCCGTCGATCGCCGGAATGCTCGACGGCGCGAGCCATCCGATCAGCCCGAACCCAATCACGTTCAGATCCCTGCGCAGCCAATCCCTCTGAAAGCTACTGCTTTCCCCCAATTCGAAGCAAACAGACATACAAAGCATAAGAGGCCATAAAAGGGGATAGATTAATGCATCAAAACACTTCCCGTTCCTTTTAAAAAAATCATACATACCACATGAACTTGCCGCCGTTAGCACCTTCCAGCCTGAGGGGATTCCCGGCAGCAACCGGCGACCTCAGAAACCCTTCAATCGATGGCGGCGAGGAGAGGGAAAAAGGGAAACGTGACAGGAATCAGCCAGAGATCTCATAGAGTAAGAGTTATGGAGAAATTCGATTGGCATACAGTATTTTACCAGAGGAGAGGGAGAGTCTTTTTGAGGTCCGGGCAGTGGAGGAGGAGAGGGAGCTGCTGCCCAAACCCACAACCGTCGACGCTGTGGTCGCAAATGCGGTGGTCGCCATTTTCGTCCCTCCTGAGAATTGTTCTGTTCAGGGCCTTCTGGCTTCAGAGTAACAACAAGAATGATGTAATCTGTTTCTTCTTCTTCTTCTTCAGAAGAGAGTCAGAGGAATTTTGTTGTACTGGCCATTGGGGTGAGATATTGTGGGATTAGAGAAAGATTGGCTGGATGGCTGCTGGATCAATGGAGCTCCGACACGTCGGATTTGAAGGGATAAAGTGGGGTTCCCCTTTGCTTTTGGGCAGAAAGAATGCTATCCTCTCAGTTTCCTTTTTGGATGACTATCATGCTGCTGGGCTTTGGATGAATGACGGGCCTAGGCTGAGAGTTTGGGCTTTGGCAACGCTCATCGTCGTTTCGCGATATCTCGTCAATTTATCCTACTGATAATTTCGTGTTTCTTCCTTCCTTCCGCCTAGAGGTGGCAATTTCAATCCAATCCACCAATCCAATCCATCAATCCATTAAAAATATCCACCTAATCCAATCCATTTAAATCCAATCCATTTGATCCAAATCCAATTGGATTGGTGGATTCATGGATTGGATCCATGGATCATTGGCAAATTACGGTTTAGTACCTATAATTTTTATTTTTTACATTTGGTACCTAAAATTTAATTTTTTATACGAAAAATATCAATGGAAAATTACGTTTTGGTACCTAAAATTTTTTATTGTGACATTTTAGTACCTAAACTTTTTACATTTTACATATTGGTCCTTGGTTGAGGATGTCATTTGGATTCATGGATAATCCACCAATTCACTTGATCCAATCCATGAATCCACACCGACCATCCCTGTGGTCTGTTGGTTGTGTGTTATAAACACAGCCTTCTGGTCCCGGGTTCGATGGTAGGTAGAGAGAGAGAAGAAGAGAGAAGGAAAGAAGAAGGGAAGTGAACATCCAAATGAGGTATTCTAAAATCCATGAATCCACCAATCCATTAGATCCAATCCACTTGATCCATGGATCCACCAATCCAATCCATTGATCCACCAATCCAATCCATTTGCCACATCTACTTCCGCCTGTTCGGCACAGTTGTTCGCTTTCATTTGAATCCGCGGCTCCTTCCGTCGCTAGTCTTCTGCTTTTGGCTATCCCGCGCCATTTCTCCTCTTCTCCTTTCGTAGGTCGATTGGTTTTGGGGCTCAGTTTCTGGTAAGGGTTTCGATTCTTTCGTTTCACCCTCTTGCATATGGTTTCTGTGCTCGTCTAGGTTTCAGTTAACACAAGATATTGCATAGCCTCCCTCAATTAATCGAGGAGAATCGACGTTTCCTTCATCCTTAACTTAATTAAACAGCTACCTCGTTAGTTTAAGAGTAGAATGAACTTACATCCCATCACTTTCTCATTCTTGAAGAGCCAATGCATGTGCTCGACAAGAGAGGAGTAGCTAATTAGTCTAGTATTACATTACATCTTGCAGGCTGAATTCGAACACTTGGTGAGTTGAAAATGGGAAGTTGAATGAATTACTTTTGTTAAGATAGCTCGCCTTTCCTTATGGAACCTGATTTGGCAGCTTACCCTTTTTTTCTCTTGTCAAGAAAGATGAGATAGTTCTGTTACTTGCGAATTTCAGTATAACTGTGCGTAATGTTAGGATGAATAGTTTGTGAACAGGTTCATTCTTCTGGAATCTATGGATCAAACAAACACAGACAATGATGCGATCTGGTCTGTTGTTTTCAAAGATGCATATGCATTACTAAGACGCTGGCGGTGAGTCCTTATTTTTACTAACTTAGTCGCTTCCTTGAGTTGCATGCATCTCGAGTTGGCGATAATGGTGGGTTTTGATGAACAGATACATGGGGATGGATGTTTTCTTGGATCCAAATCGAGACGACAAAGGTGATGATTTAATTATCGTAACACCATCCGGTATGACAAAAGCAATTAAACATAGCGTTCCTCCGAACTGTGGGGAATGTTTCCTGGCTTCGTTACTCGATTCACTGCAATGAAGCTCTGCAAAGGTACGTTGCAGGTTGCTTCTATATGTCATGTTTGTGCGCGCTTATGTAATTGCATTCATTGATCTTTGTGGATCTGTATTCAATGCAGTCAAGTATATGAACTCCATCACAAAGATATATGCATAGTCAGAGTTTCTAGAGAGAACCATCAAAAAATTTGGTCAGCTATTACCATGGTGCGGACTGCGGAAGATAAGGAATAGCCCAGCATTTTTCAACCTACTGGATCTTAGTGGTAAGTAGACTTGCTGAAACTAATTTGTGTTGAGTAACGCCTGATGAGTTATGTACTATGGTGGAAGTTCGCATACATAGTCCTCTGTAAACCATGGGAGTTCTCTTTTCATTTTGGTTGTGATAATGGTAGCTATTTCATGGAATTTGATAGCAATTGTTGTTCATATGAGCAAAAGGTACAAAACTCCATGGTTTTAAAACAAAAGGACTAACTTTAAATTGGTCCATCATCAACAATTGGCCATTGCAAAAGTAATATGTCGGCTTCTGCACGAAGGACTTCAATATATTATCCTGCAGCCTCAACAATGGGTCATTGCAAAAGTAATATGTCGGTTTCTGCACGAAGAACTTCAATATATTATCCTGCAGCCTCATTACTATATTGTTCCTCGTGTCATTTTCAATACGAGGAAGAAACAATGCCTTCCCATCTCCACTAGCTTTCTCAACTGTACCTCAACTACTCTTTTGCGCAGCAACCGGGCCTGAAAAGCTTGCAGCTTGTTACTACGCCAGCCATGTGGTGGCTTCGTTGCCTTGCCCTCTTCGTGAAAGTCCCAGCACTAGTCCTAATCTTCTTCACCCGCCACCTGCTTCACATATTCTGGCCGTTGTTCCTCCGGCAAGCCCGCCGCCTTGCTCTGTTCATTCCTTCTTCCGGCGACGACAACAGAAACAATAGCACGAGCAGCAGCTCCCCTGCTCCTGATCGTGATGCTCTGCCGCCAAAGTACAACGTGTTCATCAGCTTCAGGGGTGGCGACGTTCGCAACAGTTTCCTGAGCCATCTCTACTCTTACCTTCACAATTACAAGAAGCTGTGGACCTACAAAGACGACGTCGACTTGGAAAGAGGGCTGGCGATCTCCCCCGCCCTCCTCCAGGCGATCGAGGCTTCCGCCGTCTACATCGTGATTTTCTCCCTCAATTACGCCGACTCCCCATGGTGCTTGGAGGAGCTCGAGACGATCGTCCAGTGTGGTGAGAAGTTCGGCCGGAGGGTGATTCCGGTTTTCTACGACGGGGTTGACCCTCTTGAGGTCGAAACCCTAACCGGCAGCTGCGGGGCGGCTTTTTCTCGGCTGCCGGCGGAGGCGTCGGGTAAAAAGCCAAGCTGGACAGCTGCGTTGAGTAAGGCTGCTACATACTCTGGCTTCGATTCACGTATTGAAAGGTAATTCAATCTTGTGCTATGAGTTTTGAATGATTTGACTGTTGTTTGATCCGTTGATAAGCATGTCTATATATATATATATGTTTGTTCTACTACTTCAGGCCGGAGACCGTACTAATACAAAAGATTACCAAGGCTGTATTCCAAGCAATACACAATCAGACGATGCCGGATTCATACTCTTTCGGGAACCGTGGTAATAGCTTGGTGGGCGTTGAGAAAAGGGTGAACCAGATCCAACCACTGCTATGCTTGGAGGGAAGTGAACACGAACATGACAATCTGACTATAGGAATCTGGGGGATGCCTGGTATTGGCAAGACAGTCCTGGCTGAAGCTATCTACAACAAATTCTCTTCTCAGTTCGAGGCTCGCGACTTGTTTCGCGACTTCGCCAAAACAGTGAGCGAGTCGAAGCAACCATTTGACGATTTCCAGAACGACTTCTTCGCTAAGTTGTTGCGTGATGAGAATCCAGGCAGAGTGCGGGATCCTTTGAAGCTCCTTCGCCTCAGTCGCACCAAGGTTCTCGCTGTGATCGATGACGTGGGTGATGGTGTGAGCAACATCGAACAGTTAAACAATCTGTTGAACGGGCGGTACTGTGGCATGTTTGGACCAGGGAGTAGACTTGTGATCGTCAGCAGGAACAATCAAGTGTTATCAAATGTGTGTCATCACGTGTATGAAGTCCCGCCTCTGAAGCATAATGAAGCTCTTCGGCTCTTCTGCTTGCACGCGTTCAAGCTCGATTGCCCGCCAATCGAGTATGAGTGGTTGTGCAGGAACGCGATTAGCTATGCAGGGGGGAATCCTTTGGATCTGATCTTGCAGGGCTCACGTTTGTACGGCAGGGACCAAACATTTTGGGACAATGAACTCAATGGCTCGAACCGTGCAGGGATTCAAAGTGTGTTAAGGAGGAGTTACGATGGATTAAACCAGGCCGAGAAGAGTGCGTTTCTTGACATTGCATGTTTCAAAGAGCACTTGCATTGGTGGAAGTTGGAGGAGATCGAAGGAATGCTGTTAGGTGGAGGCTATGCAGAGTCCGGTGGTAGCGCTCATAACGTTTTCACGAACCTTAGTGATCTCTCTTTGTTGAGCATTCACGAATCTCATGACGGAGTTTACGTAGCAATGCACAGGCTACTCCAAGACTTCGGCCGTGGTGTCGTTAGTGAAGAACGTCGAGTCGGGAAGCGTTCCAGGTTGTGGGAAGCAAAAGATATATATCATCTCCTCAGGTACAACAAGGGGACTGATCTGATTGAAGCCATCATCTGGGATTTGTCGAAACTCAAGTATGAGATTAAGAAGATAAACATGGCGGGTGATACATTTACTAAAATGTACCATCTACGGTTCCTTGTGATTCGTTATGGTGGGGAAACTAGAAGGCCGTTGTCGAAGCAGCTGGTTATTGCAGACGATGGTCTGCTGCAGTCACTGCCCACTGCGCTGAAATGTCTTCACTGGGAATTCTTCCCGGCTAGATGTTTGGCATCCGAATTCTTCTCAGAGAATCTTGTTTCACTTGATTTGCCTAACAGTAACGTCGAACAACTTTGGAAAGGAGAACATGACTATGTGGTATGTGCATATACATACATTGTTACAATATATTGCATATGTAAATTAGCACTTCTTTTCTGATGTTACAATTTTGCCAGGATTTGAAGAATCTGGAATTCCTTAATCTGGAGGGATCCGAACGCCTAAAGAAGCTGCCTGATCTTTCGACGGCGAAAAGACTGAAGAGGGTCAAGCTTGGTCGATGTGAGACCCTAGTTGAGCTTCCAGTGTCGATTCTGGAACTTCCCAAACTGGAAGAGATCGATGTAACAGAGTGCAAGAGCCTGGGCTTCAACAACTTGGACCTACATTGCACAACATTAACTGCGCCTATCTTACTTCCAAATTTGAAACTGGTACACCTGAGTGGTACCCTGATCCAATCTGCACCTGATTTTCTCCGCCGCGCACAGATTTCAGAGCTCCATTGCTACAGTTGCTCGAACTTAGCCGAGTTTCCAGTCATCCCAAGCGTAGAGATCTTAAACTTTGACAATACAGCGATCGAAGGAAGGGTTGAACTCGGGGTTCTTCCCAAGTTGGAGGAGTTGAATCTTACTGCAAACCAACGAGTCATTCATCTCTCGGATGACATCTGTAAGCTGCAATCCTTTCGCAAGCTCAATCTCTCTGGCTGCACACAGATGGAGGAGTTTCCTGAGATTTTGCAGCCCATGAAATGTATGGATGTGTTGACCTTAAGCGGATGCGCGAAGCTGTCGACCCTTCCCATTAGCATCGGTAAGCTAGTCGGACTGGAAGTTCTTGATTTAAGCAATACGGCAGTCGAAGAGCTACCGTCCTCCATCATGGATCTCAAGTTCCTGAGGATATTGAAGCTGCAGCGTTGTAAAAGTCTTGCAAGCCTGCCCACCAATATCTGCAACTCGCGGTTTTTGAGTTCCCTGGATGTGGGTAATTGCTGTCGACTGAGTTCTCTGCCGGAGCTTCCTCCAGGGCTGGCTTATATGAATGCGTACGGCTGCCAAACACTTGAAATGTTGTCCGGCGTTGAGAAGCATGATCACAGGAGGACAAAATTGTGGAATTTTGGAAAATGTCCCAAGCTTGACAGAGACGCGTGCACCAAGCTGGTCAGAAAGGTAACAGTACAGAACACTGGATCACTAATACCAAAAAAAAAAAATGTAGTTCTGCTCAAAATTGTTAACATGAACTGATTCTCGTGGATGTGTTGATGCAGTTCACTCATGATGTTGTGGACTTCGCGGGGGAAGGGTCGCGAAGTGTTATAATCCCAGCAGAATGGAATGGAGATGCGGCAAGGATGGTGTCTTCTACTTCCTCTTCTTCTTCTTTGCTGCAGCAGCCGTGGGAGGCGATAAGGGGAGTAATGTACAGCGCTCTACTCGAGCTCTCCCCTGCAGATGCTGAATCTGCGGGCATCGCGACTAGTTCTGATAATGCGCTGGGATACCATGTCGACTGCTGGCTGCGCAGCAATGTTGCTGTCGCGGATGAAATCCTGGCGAGCCGCTGGCAATGGTATCCACAGATTCAAGGGGGTGATATTATGAATGTGTGGGATGGCGCTGAGCATCGGTGTCAACGCTTAAACGGCCTGTTGATATGGTCCGATGGTGGCTCCGGCTGGAAGAGGATCCAGCAGTTTGCTCAAGGTCAAACTAGTAACGCAGATCGCGATGGTAGTGGTTGTTGTACTGGTTACGGTGATCTCGAGTTCTCGTTTCGCGCTGAATATCGCTCGTCGGAATTTACGCTCGAGGAGCTGCCGAATTTGATCAAGCGGTCTCGCGTAGTGCCGGTGTTTCGCGACAACCGAGTGGTAGATGATCATGGAGGCCAGGTATCATCTCCAGAGAGGCTACTGTTGGGAGAAATTGATGTTGAGTAGCTAGTAAATTTCACTGAATCGGCAATCGTTGTGTCGGTATTCTTCCATCACTGTGGGTTTTTTTGGAATGTAACAATTATGGAACCAACTCTGAGCTTTCTCTTGTAAGTTGTAACATATGGAAATGGGTCGGATCGAGGATGGATAGTGCATACCCATGGGTAGAAAATACCCATGGGTAGAAAGTAGTTCGGGTTTTACTCATACCCATAAACGGGTAGAAAATCCAAACTGTGCCCATACCCGTTCGGGTTTTGGGTATCCACTATTATCCATGGGTATTAGTTTCTCTTTATAACCCCAACCAATATGTTAATATTCACACGTATTCTCACGTTACGTAAGCCGAAAAGTACGACAATAATTCACTATAATGAAGAAAATTAATTAATACAATACAATTTCATAAAAATAAATTGATATTTATATGCTAAATATAAAATATGTTATAGAAAAATGTTGATAATTTGTAGACAAAATACATATGCATGTGTATAATCAGTCGGGTTCGGGTTGGGTAGTGAGAAAACCATGTCCACTCAATACCCGCAATATTTGAGTACCCGTACCCACTAAAAATCCTTCGGATTCGAGTTTTATCCTACCCGATTAAATCGGATTTGGACAAATATCTACTATTATGAATATTTTTGCCATCCCTAGTGGCAACTGGGAAGAAGTTTGATTTGGGGTAGGCCGGTAGCCAGTTGACCGGGCAAACTTGTGATATTGGACCGGTCAGTTTTGGGCTTTTGACCATATTCCTTCCCGGGCTGAGCTAGCCTGCTTGTATGCAGTCGAGTCCACTACCAATGGGCCCTGCAATCGCGTGTGAGCCCAGCCCTACTCCTTCGGTTCAGACAAGTGAAAACCGTACACTGACAAAACGCTCGTTCCAAGAGAATATTCGAAGTGATTTTTGTATAAAGTAAGTACAGCTGAATAATGGACACGTGAATGTACTATAAAGCTTCCAATCTATATCATAGGAGGATGACAGGAATATATTGATTTTTCGGTTCGATTTTTCGGCTATCCCCAGAAGAGAAGTTTTTTTTGGTAATATTCCCAGAAGAAAAGATATTCTCTCAAATAATAATATGGTATAGCTTTAACTTTGTATTCACATATTTTCGTATAAATTTTTATATTGTACGAACTAAGTCTATATTTTAATATATAATACAATTTCAATTTTGCATATATTTTTTTCGTACAAATTCATTTATAATACAAACTCAACTTGCAAAGTTATGATACAAGTTCGACTTGTATGTTAAACCACCAATAATTTAGAGTACCGTAAATAAAACTCTCTCAGCTCCCTTTTTCAACCAAGATTCGATTTCAATACTAGACTTTGCAGAAATTCAATTCAAAGGATATTTCCAACAAACCAAAATCTGTAGGAACAAGGTGGTGGGAAGGCGGGATTCGTTGTGCATAACTTTCAAATACGCCGCCGGACCGACCGCCTCTCCGATCCTTATCCTGCTTGATAACAAACAACCACATTATTATTATTATACAAATAATAATAAGAAGAAGAAAGCCGACATCGCAGGAGCAAAACGCAGGCCTTGGGATTTGGGAGGGCGGCGGCCATCAATCGAAGTGATAATTATTGGGTTTTTTTTGCCTGTCTTCTGTGCTTTTACGAGGATGTGATCTTCATATATCGACACCTGGACCTGAAAGCATGCCTAGTGTCATGCCCAATTGCACCTTTAGCGCAACACGTGTCACGTTTGTATCAGGTACTAGATGTGTGGGCTTCCAACACGTGTATTTCCCCTGACAGAATTGGTTTCATGTTGTTGCCAGACAAACAATTATGCATTTCCGGAAACAATATGCGGTGCCGGTGGAAATTCGGAATAAATATACAACTACGACATATTTTTGGTAAGGAAACACTACAATCCAGATTTTGAACCAACGGGATTTTTAGGATATGAAATTAGCTGTAACCTAATTGTGATTGAATCCTAGAGTTATAATTATCTAAACCCTACACCTACTTTCTACGATCGTTCATTTTAGCATGTTTAATGTGTATATATATATACGTAGCAAAATAAACGGCAAAAGGCTTTTATATAAATTTAGGGGAGGTTGCTAGGGATGGCAATTTACCCACCCATGGGTAATTTTGCCCAAACCCAAGTAGACCCATTTATTATGGGTAGGGTTTGGGTGATGTGTGTATGGGTTTGGGATTTGTATATGGGTTTGGGTTAGATATGGATATTATCTAAATGGGTATGGGTTGGATATGGATATCCATTTACTTGAGGGTGTCTTAACTACACATGCAAAAATTGGACCTATTTGTAAAACTTGAAAAGTTTAGGTACCAAAATGTAAGACCAAAAAAATTTAGGTACCAAAACGTAATTTTCCATCGATATTTTGAGGACTTATATGCAAAAAAATTAAATTTAGGTACTAAATATGCATATTTATTAAGTTTAGGTACCAAACTGTAATTTGTATTTGGGCATGGGTACAAACCCAAATCCATTTGTTATAAACCCAACCCAACCCAAAGTAAATGGGTATGGGTACAAACCCATCAAACATTACCCACATCCATATATTTGGATTTCATACCCAACCCAATTGAGTTGGATAGTAAAATACCCATGGGTATGGGCATAATTGTCATCCCTAGAGGTTGCATATGAATTAATTGGAATCTTCAATTTTTATCATGTTACTATTTTCTCTACTGAGTGAAACATAGGTCTTAATTACGTAGACTGTACCACCAGACATCATAAGATGATGTATTTAGTCAGTATGTCTAGTATTTGATGAATCAGAAACCGTTGATTATTGTTACTCATTAAATTAGTGTTAAGATATGATTTAGAAAAGTTAGAGCATAGACTTTACTAATTTTTGAAATCCTAACGTGAAGATCGATTCATAAAGATAAATAACCAATGATTCTAATTCATTCAAATACGTGAAGTACATCCAAAAGATATACCCAAGTAAATTTGAGAGTACCTCATATACCCTTATCAAAAAAAAAAAAAAACAATATCTACACTTTGAATTAATCAGAGTGTGAGTTATGATATTATATCGTAAGTCCTTATGAGTAAAACCCATGCCTTAATTCTCTAGATCATATATCATAAGATTATGTTAATATAGTATCATCATACCCGAACTCAGATTAATATAATTCATGGTCTATCAAATACAATGATCTATTTAGAAGTATCCAAAGTATCTTATATCCTAAAATTATAACAATCTGATTCGTATTATATGATAATAACTGAAGCACTACTACCCCAGAGTACACCAATCTTCCTGTTAATAATCCATCCGGTGCTTTTTGTCAAATCCTACGTACATACATAGTAAGAGAATGTAAGAAAATAAATTGTTCAGTGCCGAATTTGGGATATTCGGAAAATGGGCTAAAAGCCTAAACTAATAGCTTATGACCTGATATCACATGTCGATAGAGCAAGTATTATTCTAAACTAGAGAAAACTCCGGCCACTGTCGTGGCAAAATCACAAAATAGAAAATCATGGAGTGGCTTCCACGAAAGCTCCATCACATCGTGCGTTATCCATGGCTGGCCGGTTGAGTTGGAGCACTTTGCATCCAGAATAATATGACAAAGCAAATTAGACCACCCCCAGCCAAATCACGATCAAATCAATCATAACATAACGTGCAATGGTAATCAGATATCACTAAATACAACGCAAATCGTTAAACGACCGAGCATCGAAGAAAATGTGAGTTCATACGTCAAGCGATTCTCGGTAATCCAAAATCGAAACAATTCGCTCCATTCTACGTGGCCACACACATGTGTACAACATCGATCAAAGTATTGGTCCGACATTTTTTGGAACAAAAATTACAACTTCACTGAAATGTATTTAATTTAGTATTTACACAGAATGAAATTAAATTTCACTAGAGAAGTATCTAAATGACTATTTTGTCCCTACTTCTCACATCAAAAGGAAGGCCAAAAACGTCAGGAAAAAAGCGACCCCAGTGGCAACACACAGCGTATCGAGAACCTTCTCTCTCCTCTCGACGCGCCGTTTCCACTCCCTCTTCCTCTCCAAAAACCTCTCGTACTTCTCCTTCCCTTCCTCCCTCGTCTCCACGCGCCGCCGCCGCTCCCCTTCCATCGCCCCACGCAAAATCCCCAAACTGTCCCTCCCGCACAGGCTCCGCCCTTCCATGTCCTCCATCCCCAAATAAATATCCCGCACGTGCACCTCCCCTCCTTCCTCCCCGCCGCACGTGACCACCACCCCGCACTCCGCCGCCTCCCCGCCTTCCCCCTCCGCCCCCTCCGCCGCCACCGTCGAGAATTTCACCTGCACCTCCCCGGTCAGCCAGTGGTGCCGCGCCGCCACCGCAACGCCGCTCGAGAGATTCGCCGACCGCCTCCCCGCCGGATCGATCACGATCCAGCTCACCCTCAGGTTCTCCTCCAGCTGCCTCAGCCACGCGTCCTCCGCCTCCTTCCCCGCCGCCGCCGTCGCACCGGCGGAGTAGTCGCGGATCCCCGTGGGGACCACCTCCTTCGCCTCCAGCAGCTCGATTCGAAACGGCGCCGTCTGGAACCACGACGTCACGGTCTCCGTCTCCGTGACTTTGGAAAAAATCGGGGAATCTCCGTAGTAAATGTCGACGGCGGAGATCAGTCCCGTGATTTCCGGGTCCGGATTCCCCGTGGCGGCGCCGCCGGAGAGGTGGATTGCCGGGAAGGAGTCGGAGAAGAAGGAGCGGTAGCCGTGGTTGAAGGTCGGGATCAGGGAGGATAGTTCGGGATTGTTGACGGAAGGCCACGTGGCGGCGCAGATGTTCCGCCAGAGTTCGTCGTCGGTGGAGATCGTGGAGCGGAGGTCCGGCGACGCGGAGGAGAGGGCGGCCAGAGCGGGGCCGTCGAGGCGGTTCAGGATGTGGGATCTCAGGACGTCATGGTGGACGGCGGAGATCGTCGCCGACGAAGCTGAATTTGATGACGAATCGACGGTGGATTGTAGAGCAACCATTGTTTTGGGTTTACTGCGAAGAGATTGGATTTGTGTATATGAGGGGAAATTTTGAATTGAGGAAAATTGGGGGAGAAGAAGGGGGTTTTATATAGGTAGAGGAAAGGAAGGGGGCGGGCAAATGGGAATTGGGATGGATAACTGCTGAGTGGGAAGTCGTCAAGGTCAGAGAAATTTTGCTTCGCTTTTTCTTCTTGAATTTGTATTTTCTTTCTTTTGATATTAATAATGATTGATTTGTTGTTTTGCGCTTTTGAGGAGTCAAGAGTGGCATGTTGGGTGGTGTAAATATCTTTCTTTATCCCCATGGGTATTATACTTATAAGCTCGAGGTAATCCTATTTTATGAATATTCGACGAATTCATATGTACTCGTGTATGGTCTTGATCATAGTTAGCACTTGGCCGTGGTTGTGTTACCCAAAGCAGCTGCTTAAGATTTTTTTTTTTTTTTATTTATTCAGCTTGAATTAACGTTTTGGTAAGTAGGGATGGCAAAAATATCCGTAACCGTGGATATCCGCCCGAATCCGGCCTAGTCGGGTAGGGTAAAACCCGAACCCGAAGGACACTTAGTGGGTACGGGTAAAACCCGAACCCGAATATTGTGGGTAATGGGTGGGCATGGGTTTCTCACTATCCGACCCGAACCCGCCCTATTATAAACATGCATATGTATTTTGTCTAGAAATAATCATTATTTTTCTTTAACACATTTTATATTTAGCATATAAATATAACATTTTCATGAAATTGTGTTGTTTTAGTTAATTTTCTTCATTCTAGTGAATTCTTGTCGTACTTTTTCTCTTACTTAATATAAGAAAACGTGTGAATGTTAACATATTGGTTGGAGTTATGAAGATAAATTAATATCCATGGATAACCGTGGATACCCGAAACCCGAACGAGTATGGGCATGGTTTTGATTTTCTACCCGTTTCACATGTGGGTATGGGTATGGGTAAAACCCGAAATACTTTGGGTAGGGTAACGGATATGCACTATCCGCCCCCGACCCGACCCATTGCCATCCCTATTGGTAAGGCATCCATCACAATTATTATCATGATATTTTTAAATTCTCAATGGCGAGATACAAGTTTAGGAATTTTAAGAGGGAGTGGTGGTGGGCCCACCAGATTGGCCTAGTGGTGGGATAATTGGGCGAAGGAGAGCGTGTTATTTTCCTTCTTCTGCGTTTTTTGCTCTTATCCAATAGAAACCGACTTTGGTGCAAAATGGCCGTACCGTTAACGGTTTTAGCCGTCAAAGCCAAAAGCGTGTGCTTCCGTTTACTCTCCTTTACAGTTTACCCTCTACGTCGCCTCGTTTTGTTGGTTGACTGTTGACTCAAAAACTCCGTCTGTTTGGAGTGACCTTTTCCGGCAACTGATCGGGTAAATTAAATTAAATTAAATTAAATCCCATAATTACGGGATCAAATCCGGCTGATAAAATTCCGATCAATGAACATGCCAGGGCGTATATCCAAAGAGACGCCGGCCGGCTGGATGAGATTATTCTCTGTTAACATTTAGCCAACTACTAGCTATTCTAAAAGCATTATGAAAGAGCACAAAAAAACAGAGTGCATCATTATTATTATTATTATTATTATACAATAACAATCCCTGTTATTAATTGAAGTTCCATGGCTTTAATCTCCCTGTACTGTTTCGACAGTGGGCTATTCGATCGGCCGGCGGCCAGTGACATGTGAGCTCGGCCCACTCCACCACGACTAGGAATCTTTTTGCCAGCAATTAATTTTAAGGATTTTCGAAACTAATGATGGCATCAAAAGGGTTGTAGTAAGTAGCGAGTGTTGACTGGGAAACAATGAGTTCCTGACCGGCAGGCGGGCGGTAACAATCCCTCCGATTTATTAAATCTTGTTACGCCGGCGGTCACAAATACATCATCAAATTGACTTTGTTTTCCTTTTAGAGAGGATGTGCCCTGTAATTTCATTTGCCGATGGCGGCCCAGGATGGGCCCAGAGACAAGGCCCAACTAGTACGCCCCGTGTTTGTACTACTCCGCGTCTAGATACCCGGGCCCCGAACGTTTTGTTTCAACAACCCGAGGTTCCCGTGGTGCACACGTGTCCAGATCACAATTTAACCACGTTTTCATTTGTTCACTTGAATCATTTTGCAGTCAAAGATGAGTTCATTCTATTTTTTTTCTCCCTTCATCATTCAGTGGTGGAACCATGAATTAACAATAAAATAAAATCATCAAGGATTGTCGATATAAGATCTTGACTTTAAGTACTTCCATCATTGAAATGAAATTTACAAAGAAATTTTGTCCCGATATTTGGACAAGGTCTGTCAATTGACGAATATTTAGGCAACCTAGGTCCGCTCCTGCCGTCATCTGAGCTGGATTTTGAAAATTTTCTTACTATCCATTTGTGAGAGAGCGCGGACAGAAGTCTGATGTCAATGGATTGTACACAGGTGATTCGTGTCAATCAAGGAACGAGGATCATTTGCTTATCAGCGTCATACGCTTATAAGGAGCAGGTTCTCACGTACAACACTGACCAATCACGTCAAATCCATTAGGGTCAAGTTCTATAAACACGTTCTCACAATTGGTCTCAGGATACCATACTCGAGTTCGTACTAGTTCATTAGAGCTTATGGTTACAACAAGGCCGAAAGCAAAGTAAAGGAAGTAGCCAGGGAAAAGATACAAATGAAACCTTCTGTTTTATTTTGTGATGATCTCAATTATCGATCAATCTTCAATGAAATTATCAAGAGAGAAAGAAAGCAAGAAACAAGGAATCTCAAATTAGTTGTCCGTCTTGCTCATCATCCAGCCAAAATAGAATCAATGGCATCATCTAAATTCGTAGTTTTTCGGAGTATCTGTAGATCTTTTATATGATCGTTTGTCCGAAAAATTGTTTGTGACTTAAGAACATATTTCTTTCAAAAATGGTGTTTTGTAAAGTACCATAATACGGAGTTGTCAAATATATAGGAAGTAACGATGTTAACATGCATATGAGATTGAATAGAAAATAAATGAAAAGAACAAGAGGATTACATAGTGAGTAACACAGCCAGCAACCAAATCCTAACTAGTACCAGGCATGTAAATCCCATAAACAATTTTTTTTTTAATCTCCAAACAAGTTTTATATCTGACTCCATTACTGAACGGTCATTCAAGATTCCAATTTCTTAAAAGCTTTTAATAACAATATTTTCTCAGGAAAACCCCATATATGCAAGGCTTGAACTTATTTTCCAACTAAGCCTTTTGTTTTTATCTCTCTTGTCTTAAAACTTGAAACTGATATTGTAAGATTTATTAATGGACTTCTCTAGATAAAATAAAAAATGAGTTATTAAGACATCTAACTGCTTCTTAACATTACATCACATCACATCTCTCCATTAAAAGGCGCCATGTTCGAATCCCAACATATCTCAATATCAATAATTGTCTATAAACACATGATATAGTGATTTTATACAAACTTAAACTTATTAATTACCTTTCTTTTTGAGGAGTATGTAAACTAAATAACATAAAATCAAATTCTAAACATCTTTTCAAAAACTCATAATAATTGGAACCAAATGGTTCTCTTTCACATAACCAAAACCCTACTAGAATGGACCACTCACATTTTCCACAGCAAGTGAAGAAAGTACACTCTTTTTATTTTTTTTCTTCTCCCCACCCCCATAAATGGAAACACCAATTTGTTGATAAATTAAGGGCACACCAAGCGGCTCCAATCCTTGCAACAAATGCCCAGAAGCTAAGGCCACTTGGGAACCCATTAGCTTTGCCAAAATGTCAAACTTTAGGGTCACAAATGAATTAATAGTGACATTAAAAGAAAAAAGTGACAAATTTAGAGTCCGACCTCTCCTCATACCTCCTGTCCTCATCCTCATCTACAAAATGTCAAACCTCTTTCCTAATTAAATAACTAAATGATGGATCTTGTTTAGTTGACCGATCTTGATTGTTTAAGCACTTAAAATGCCAGTGACAAAAAGACAATATGATGTGAAGTATTCTTTGAAAATTCCACCCTCATGCAAAATCCTCCTATTTTCTGTTTAAACTTTAAATGGGGCAAGCTACTGACAAAGTCACATATAGTCTAATGGGCAACATCGTGATTTGAATAATCAATAAAATACAGGTGACGTAGTTAAAAAAAGTAAAAAAAAAACACCTCTTATTAACCAAACAATGGACTACGAAATTAGCCTACTATATATTACATGTAAGAAAATCCTCCTATCATATGTTAGCTAAAGATATATGTTAGGTTTAAACATTAAGATCAAAATCATCGTTATAGAATTAAGTATAGTTTTAGCTGTATAACTTTTCAGCCTTCCTGGTAGCTAAACTGGACGCTTCCAGCTTGTCTAGAGGAACCATATACCCAGTTGCTAATACTACTTTTTGCAACCAACAAAAATTAAGGTCAACTGCCCCAATTATTCCCCTAATTATATATTCCAATCTATCTAGCTACAACGTACAAATCCACATTCACATGTGAGTTGTGGCGTGGTTAGACTCCACTAATAACCAGCCGGCAGTTTTATTATTTTTGTTACGTTTGTTTGTCTACGAAGACAACTGGGGCGTCCAACATCTGAAAAGGCGTTTGCTAGTACTCTTATCTCCCTTCTTAAACCTTTAAATTAAGGATTAAAAAAATCGTATCAACGATCCGACCGGAAAAAAATCATTTATTAAAGACTAAATCACTAGGTGATATTTAGTGGTACGAAACTATTGAACCCAATCAAATTACGATTTCCGCATCAAATACCTTATCACAGACCTTTTTTGATACAGTTTTACAATCTTTGCTTTAAACCCAAACGTGCAATGTAGTATAATAGCGGCCTTGTTCAAAGTAAATTAAAACTCACAACTTGAGATCTCTTTTAAAAGCTTCGAATGATTGAAACCAAATGGTTCATTCCAATGTCGGACCACTC